AAAATTTAGTTTATGGGTGGAGGAAAGTTGAAGAGAATGAACACTACTCTAGTTGCCTCTAAAAGCAGCATATGCAGCTGAGATGGAGGTGCCAGGTTTTCTGATTGGAACACAAAGCATGAGAGAAATTGGTCCCCCTTCCTCCCTTTCAAATAGACATCACTGAGATAAAGCATGAGTATTCCAGCAATTGTTTTTTCTGCAGTTGAGACTCAGTAATTTTACACTGAGACATTCTTCCTAGATTCTCTTAATAGCTTGGGCATTGGGCATGGTTTTTGGTGACGGAACACCTTTTATTTCTTATTTTTCCTCCATGTACTTTATTGGAAAACTGGGATGGATTAAATCAGGGTGATTAGCCAGATGGTATTTCAAATAAGTTATGCTTTAAAGTTAAGGCAACAGGTAACACATATTGAATGAGCCAAGAAAGTGCTTAATTTTGTTTTCTATGAAATTGTTTATTTTACTGTTTACTATGGAGGGGCTACAAATACATATCTGATAGGAACACCAAGGACTAAACTTTGCAACACTGGTAAAAATGGTTATGAAGACTTGACAGTCTAGAGAACAGGGTGCATAAAAAGGAATGAAACGTGGATGGACCTAGAGACTGTCATACAGAGTGAAGTAAGTCAGAGAAAAACAAATATCGTGTATTAATGCATATGTGGAACCTAGAAAAATGGTACAGATGAACTGGTTTGCAAGGCAAAAATAGAGACACAGATGTAGAGAACAAACGTATGGACACCAAGGGGGGAAAGAGGGGGGTGGGTGGGTGGTGGTGGGATGAATTGGGAGATTAGGATTGACATATATACACTAATATGTATAAAATGGATAACTAATAAGAACCTGCTGCATAAAAAATAAATTCAAATTAAAAAAAATAGAGAACAGGGTGCACATCATTTTCATTGCTCTCTCCCACCATACCTCTTAAAACATCAAAGGCACTTATCAAAATGTTTAAATAAAGGAGTGTGGAATTTAAAACAATGACACATACCCCAGGCATAAAATCAAGGGCTTGAGTTTTCTAAGAGTTTGATTTCTGACATTTTACTAAAATCTCTGATTTATGCAATTTACTTTGTAGTCTTCAAATATTTAACAGATGATTTGATTTCAAGACCTTTTCAAATGAAAAGAACCTAATGAAATACTGTAAAATCAGAATTTTTCTTTACCCAATTATTATAAAAGAGCACTACTATCTCCTGGTAAAGGCAAAAGACCCACTATTATGTCAATCGTGCCATCTCTGCAGTGAGGAATATGGACACCAACACTCACTTTATGAGCAAGCACACCGGTGTCTTTGTGGTTTTCCTAGGCACACTCATCTGGCCAGGTGCACAGCACTATGCTGGGTTGGTCATGCTTTCAATTCCTACTGACCTGTTCCAAACAGCTCCTTAAATAAAACAGGAGCAGGAATAAAAGTTTGTGTCCCCCTATCCCTTATTCTACTTGATTTCCAGAAAAAGTCAGAGTAAGACAAACTTATACAGAAGGCTCAAGCCCCACATCAGTCTAAGAAATGGTTCCACTTTGTCTACAACATGGAAGAAACAGTGGATGGATTGAGAAGCAGGGCGCCTTCCAGCTCCTTCTGACTCAGTGTCTTTACGTTGCAGCAACTTCCTACAGAAACATCAGCACTACGCTGCATTCTGAAACAAGTATATAAATGCTTCTGGACTGATCCATGCATGCTCTTACTCCCCACTCAGGGAAAAATAAAATTGACGCCAATCACATTTCCATGTGAAAACACGACCTTAGACTAATATGAGTTGGTTTTCCTAGACTTGGGAATACTGACGCAATACAGTTAGACATCTTCTAAAGGCATTCATTCTCAACGTGAAAAGACAATTTCTTGCGTATTTTCTAATTGTAGTATATACACATTTAGATGTAGATAGTATGGGCAACAGTGCTGACAGGCCATTAAGCATGTTTAAGATTGTTCTGATGAGAAATTTCCATTTTTTTTCTTCTCAGTTTGTACACGTATAATCATTTCCAGGATACTCACATGCTACACAGAACTGAAAGATGCCCAATTTTTCTATTAAAAAAATGAAGTTATAATTTTCTAGTGCAGAGTGACTGCACAGGAAGACTACCATAAGCAATCTACAGGAGCGCTAACAGAAGGTATTTCTGTATTTGATGTGTACTAATTACCCTTCCTCCATTTTAGATAACATTCCATTTTCAACATTGAACTTTTCTTTAGTCAAGAAATCCCCACGTTTATAAAACCGGAGGGCAATTTCCAGTGAGCTTTATCAGGATAGAGGGGCCAAAAGACCACAGGTATTACTGGGTTATAATCAGTAGGAGGAACTAATTAATCAGCATTATCATGAAACTGCTGCAGGGCAATAGGTTTCAGTAATTAAACATAAATCATGAGGGTATGTTGCAGGCATTATAAAAATAGTGACCTGATTTCACTGGGTATCAACTAGTATTTACAAAGCTACCTGAATTTTTCTGTTGCTCTGCATTGCTGTTAAATAATGAGAGTTCTGATGGTGGGGAAACTTCATTTTTCAAGTGCAGGATGATCCGAGCTGAACAAGAATGATTAAGGGAGGGGAGGAAGGTAGGCCTGGCATCAATTTGAACAAATTTTTCTTTTTCTGAAGGCTCATGTCTCCAAGGTTATGATAATAAAGTCATAAACATGCCAGCCACTTTAAGGGTCTCAGGATTAATGAAGACCAAGAAAGATGAAATGACAAACTGTGAGCCAAGCCACCACTAGTGCAAAGCTCTAACAGAGTAACATATCCGCCACCAGCATTCTCACCAGCAATATATTTAAATACAAAGAGAACTACGTATACATGGTATTGTCATATAAATATTTCCTTTATTTTTCATGGTTAAAAACTTTTAAATTTTTATTTCTTTATTTAAAAGCATACTTTATTAAAGAAACACTGGAAATGTGGATTCTTCTTGAGAAATAATCTTCCTCTTCACCGACAGATATGAAGAAACCAGATTTCTATACCAACTAATGGAAAATTAACCACTGGTGAGTCTAGTTCCAATCCCAAATCAAGGACACACATGTTAGTACTGATTCTGTCCACTCAGTTAAAACACTCCCATTCCTGAAGTAGATTAGCTACTGAAACTCTAAAAATGCTCATTTTCCTGGGTATCCTCTTTTGTCAAAGGGTTTAGTATTTATTATGTTATTTACAGTAATTGACATTTACGAAAAGTGGAGAGACCAGAGAAAACACTCCAGAGTATGTAAAATCTTTATCTCTTTTTAAATGTTCTTAGTAGACTATAATACTAAGCAATTATATTTAGATCTTCATGACTTGAAGGTGTCTTCAATACCTCTTAATCTGCTTTCTCCCTTCAAATTCTTTCCATTCTAAAGGGAACATTTTTGCATCTTAGTACTAATCCTGTAGAATTAAAAAACAACAACAACAAAGATTCTATGTTTCATACATTTTGAATTAAAATTACCAAAGCAATAAGGATCATTTTTTTTCTTATTTAAATACTGGTACTTTCTATTATCCCTATTTCAAATTTAGAGTTATATATACATTGTGAAGATGTCCATGTACACAAGCTTCTGCAGAACCTCCAATTTTATTATAAAACTTCTTCCTCACACACATTAGAGAACTATGTATGTTCACTTTCACATGTTTAAACAACCCAAGAAGGGTGGCATATTTTAACGTTAACAACACTTTTTATCATAAAAACAGACTGAGATTAATGGTGACTCTAGCATTTGGTTACTCTGACTGACTGATTAGCTAGGCTCCTGACTTTCTATATTCATTATTGTTGGCTAATTTGACACTGGATTGTACGTATCACGTGCATTTTCCAGGAGATAAAGAGGGAATACAAAAAACGCAAATTCTAAGCAGATGATTTTGCTACTTTTAGCACTTCTGGTAAAAGGGCTAGTTGAAGTTAAACAGGAAAGCTATTAACAAAAAGAAAAGTAGGGGACAAGATACCTGTGGATTTCATTTACTCACATTTGGACGGGTCCTCCTTATTGGAGGCTAACTGAAAACAGACCAGACCATGACTTCTAGCTTTATGTTGGTCTCTTTCAAATACGCCAATGACACTCTCCAATAATTTTATTATCTCCAGTTTAATGCACCATACTATGCTTTTCACACTGTTTAAATTTCCCATTTCTATAATCCAAATGCCAAAAAATTACTACATTCCCTTATACAGTCAAAAATAGGTTTACTGGAATGTTGTTAGTTATAGCTGAAGGCAGCAACATTTACATTTAGCTTTTGTTACACCCATAAACGTGAAAATTGCTTGCAAAGCAATTGTAATAGGAGAAGAATCTTGCAAATATCAATGGAATGGTTACACACGTCTTTCGGCATAATGATTTGGTACTCTACAGAGGCTCCCTGATCACCAGCCTGAACCCCACCTTGATGCAACAAATGCAAGTCCTTATGCCATTAAAATAACAGTATGAAATATCATTATCAGTGTTTAACTATATATACAAATAATGAACTGGCAAGTATCTAGTTTCAAATTAGACCCTTGGAATATGGCAAAATCAAGGCTGGTTATCTTTGCCTTAAACATAATTTTTTTTCTTTTTTTTTTTTTGCGGTACGCGGGCCTCTCACTGTTGTGGCCTCTCTCGTTGCGGAGCGTAGGCTCCGGACGCGCAGGATCAGCATCCATGGCTCACGGGCCCAGCCGCTCCGTGGCATGTGGGATCCTCCCAGAACAGGGCACGAACCCGTGTCCCCTGCATCGGCAGGTGGACTCTCAACCACTGCGCCACCAGGGCAGCCCCGCCTTAAACATAATTATTAAAAGCACACTTTGTTGGAAGGGAAGAAGATAATGGGACATTCTCAATGCTCCAATTTGAAGTGATACTTGCCTCTTAATTTCTTGAAAAAGAAGCTTTGAAAGTTATATACATGGGTTTCATTTAAATTATGCAGCAATCTTTTATTATTATTGTCCCAGCTTTTGTTTAATGAAGATCTGTCATCAAATCAAGTACGGTATTTCACAACTATAAGAACTGCAAGAGAAAAAAAATGAAAAAGAAACATCAAAATCAGATTCATATGCTATGTTAGAAACAATACTCCTAAATGTAGCTGTGTCCATTTTGAAAATAGTTAATGAGGACAACTTTTATCTGAAATGATAGATAACAAATGGGAATGGAGAAGCAAAAATATGAAACAACCTAAATGTCTAACATTAGCATTTTGATCAAATAGATTAATATATAACCATAGCATAAAGCAGCTAAAATACTTTTAAAATATTTAATAACATGGGAAAATATTTACAATATATTTATTAGAAAGTATACATATGATCTTAGTTTTTGAAAAACATGTTTATATATTAATAGGAAAAGACTTAAAGTATATACAATAGTTATATTAATAGTAGCTATCTCTGTGTGGTAAGAGAACAGTTGGATTTTATTTTCTTCTTTATGTTATTCAACATTCCACGGGTTGATTCTTGGTACTGGCAGTAGTTATGTTCTATAAAGTCACCACAAACACTGAATGAGTAAACACTGAACCACTGCTCTGAGGGGAAACACAGGCTTAAATCCCTGCCAGCCTCTGGCTACAACATTTTTGACAACCAATCCATACATAACCTTGTTTTACATGTTTCTGTGTGAAGACACCTTATTTACTATATACTGTTGGCTTATTAACACTGAACTCCTGGCCAACAGTGCTGTCACTCACGCCTGAACAAAGCTCATCTAACACATGTACTTCCTCCACAAGACACATCACAGCCTTGCTGTGCTCAGCAACACTAGCCAGCACTGCAGCACCAGTATACTTGGAGGCCTTTTTAAACAGCAAAAGCATCAACAAGACACACAAAAATGTGAGAAGCTGTGCACTAACATTCGCTTCTCTGACCGCATCTGCCAATGACTCCGAAAGCATTGGGGTAACTGATCAGTGTTAGCTAGTAGGTGAAGTCACAAACACAGAATCCACAAATGATGAGGACTGACTTTTTCTTTAGAACAAAATCTTTTTTTCTGTTTAAAAAGAGTATCACCATGGAATTTTTCAAATGGCTATTCTGAGATGCTTTCCAAATCTTTATAAAATCCCTGTAAACAGAGATAAAGAGGCTTTGGAGAAAAGCAGATATTAAAAATGATCTGACCAAAGAAAGACAAATATATGATATCACTTGTATGTGGAATCTAAAAAATAATACATATGAATCCGTATACAAAACAGAAACAGACTCACAGTCATAGAAAACAAACTTCTGGTTATCAAAGAGGGAGGGGGAGGGATAGATTAGGAATACGGGATTAACAGATACAAGATACTATACTTAGATAAGCAACAAGGACCTACTATATAGCACAGGGAACTGTATTCAATATCTTGTAATAACCTATAATGGAAAATAATCTGAAATAATATATAACTGAATCACTTTGCTGTATACCTGAAACTAACACAACAATGTAAATCAACTACACTAAAAAAATTTTTTTTGAATGATCTGACTTTAAAAAGAATATTAAGGGGGAAAAGGAAGGGCAAGAGTTATGTTTCGATGACTGAAATGACGCTCAAATCCAAAAGAAAAATTATCATCTGGAGAATTTATCTGGATTTTCCTTCAAACACAATATTATGAAATGCAAGCTGCCATATCTAAAAGTTAAAAATAAAAAGAAAATGTGTGTTATGGTCCTGAGTGTAATAGTAGCCATATTTGGCCTTAAACAAATCACTTAGCCCTGCCTTTGCAGGGGTAGGGGTGGAGGGCAGGACAGAGGTTCTCTTTGAGAATCTGATGAAAGATATACTCTCACCATAAAACTGTACATATACATATTCACATAAAATTTTACATACAATTTATGTGCATTTTCAGAGAGCTACAGATTCTAGGTTAAGAGCTCCTTACTGGAGTCAGAAGTCATTACTCAATCCTGACATTAGTCATACTAGGTCAACTGAATATAAATTAAAAAGGAAATTTAAATGAACTTCAAAACAAATGACACCCCCCTAAATTTATAATCCAGTAAATACTTACTGATAATCACTAACAAAAGGATAACAGCAACCAAAGCCATGATGGCTTTTATCTACAACACACAAAAAGGCATGAGAAAGATTAATGTCTGACTTGTTAATAAAGACTATCTGTTGTGCTGTTTACCACATTACGCTAACTCATCATTGGACAGGCTCATTCCTTGAAAGGTTTCCAAATTTTTTCTCATATGAACTTCTGACTATTTGCATCTTTCTGTAATAATCAGAGTTCCCCAAATTTGAGGGTTTTGGCTTGCCTAGATTTTATTGTTTAAGGCTGCAGAGTAAACAGTAATAATCAAAGCCTTTATGGGCCTGATCTTTTTTGTCTATGATTTCTCACACATTTCTAATCTAAGACCAGGAAAAGAACAATATTTTATCAACTCTGTTCAGAAGTGTCAGGATATTATGAATGAGACTGGCATCCAATACAGATGGTTCAATATATATAGTATAAGGCAGCATTTTTTATAGCACTTATTCTCCAAGTATATTAGAATTCTGTTAGTTTTTGCTCCCCTTACTTTCTTCTTAGCATTTTTATCTTCATTTTGAGGAATATAATTTATACTTTTCGTGAAGAACCTCATTTAATAAATAACTTGCCTAAGAGCATTCTGTGTGTCAGTTTCACAGTCGAGTGGAGAAACCTTAAGATTAGTCCTTAGCTAGTTAATATTTTAGGTCTACATCACCTCTCTCCATAAAATTGTCACATTCCTCATCTAATCCTAAAATGCATAAATTATAAATTGACTTGATTTTCCTGATGAATTCAAATGAGTCTTGTTTTCACCAAACATTTTCATAGATAATTGATTAAAGATGGTTCATTCAGAAAAAAGATACCCAGTTATTACAAACACATAAAACACTCTGATGAATATCACAAACAGCAACTAGAAGTAGCTAATGAAATGTTTCTAAAATAAAACTACTGGCTGCATTTTAGTGGCATTACATTCATGACGAGAACAAAGTGACCAAGAGAATACATGGAAGCATTCCAATTTGAATACCAGGTGCCCCTTAAAATTATTAATTATGATAACCAAAAAATGTAGAAAGTACTTTACACTGTAAAGTACTTTAGTGACCAAGTGATCCAGAGAATATATGGAAGCTTTGCATCTTTTTTTTAAGCTGAAAACATTTCTCAAGTAATGTGGAATTTTACAATAGCTTTTCAACTTTACCAAAAATATATCTTAATTTGCCCTGTTAATTTGTGCTAGCCTTAACATTTAGAAGATTTAAATGGAAATATCAATACCAATTTTAAAACACCTAAATAAACGGAGTTTCTAACGCTGGCCAGGAAACGTTTACAACCAAAAATGGCAGCAATGTATTCATGCATGTCCAAAGCTCTCTTCTTCCAAACAACATAGACAAAAATCTGTTTCTCATTAAACACATAAGAGCCTCAGAGCCCCATAAGATACTTAAGAGAGGTGTCACTGATTCTCTCTCCCCACCCATTGGATAATTCTGTTCACTTACTTATTTTTAAAGTCAGGTTTATTAAAATATACTTTACATACAATAAAATTCACCCTCTTAGAGTTCATTGTGATGCGTTTTGACATACATACAGTTGTCAACCATCACCTTCATAGTCAAACATAAGACATTTTCATCACTCAAAAAGCTCCCTCATGCCCTGCTGTAGTCAATCTCCACCCCTCCATCCTTAGCCACTGGCAACCTCTGATCTCTTTTCTGTCCCTATATCCCTTTCCTTAGCTCTTCCCAAATAATCATTATGAAGTTAATCCAGAAAATGGTAGTGATATAGAGACTATTTAAAAATATAAATTAAAAATAGAATTCAATTTTTCCCCTTAAAAGCATACTATTCCTTTGATGTGGACCCCGTAAAGTACAAAATGAAACTCTTTAGATATAGCTAAAAAAAAGCTAGGCAAAATGCACATTATCATTTTGTTAATGGCCACATGAATGAGTCACGTGGGGAGAGGAGGTAGCTCACGGACCTTTTGTTCTTCCAAACTAGTCTGCAGGATAGAAAATTTCTATAGAAATAGAAAATTTATTCATTAAAGAAAAACAGAAAATTTAAATTCTACATAAGAGGAGCAATGAAACTTGTTTCTTTCCCTAAGTTCTACTTCTGAAAGTAAGAGGATTCAACAGGTCAACAGACAGAAATAAGCAAATCCAAGGCAACTCTTGAATGAAATCCTTGGCATATGTCAACATCAAGTTTTGAAAGTTATTGCTAAACTTGAAAATGAGAGACTAAAAACAATGTGGTATATATCCAAGGTTTTCAACAAAGCCAAAAATGACAAATTTTTCTTTTATATCTTATTTCTCCTATCCAAGTACTAACCAGGTCTGACCCTGCTTAGCTTCGGAGATCAGGCAGGTTGAGGGTGGTATGGCATAAGACTGTATCTTATTTCTCTGGAATAATGAGGGACAGTGGGATTTTCTTTTTAGCCCCATTTGCCATATGGATTCTGACACATTAAACTACTTTTATTTTTTTCTCCATCCAACAGAAAATTATATTTTTCTCTGGCTTGCTTTCTGTCTTTTAAATATCTCTATGTAATGCTATAGGTTGCTCCAAAAAGGTACTAAAAATAAATTACAAGTTAATATTTCTTACAAGATAAATCTAGAGGAAGCTAAATTATTAATAAAATGTGGATTACTCTCTACGAAGAAATCCATGAAAACATCCTTTTAGGCACTGCTTGATTCCTTTAGTTATTTCTGACCCATAAGATATTAATTCAACAAATATTTACTGAGTTCCACCATGTCCCAGGTTCAGAAGATATAATAATAAGCAAGACAGCTGTAGTCCAGTTCCCCACAGAGCTTATCACCTAGAGGCCCTTTTTTCTTCGTGTCTTTGAATAGCACTGGATATGCTGACGGACCTATCCAATATCTTCCAATTTACTTACTTTGCATCCACGCCACCACATTTGCCTTCGAAGTTGTTTGGATCTGTTGCTAAAAGCAGTTGCATTATCCGATAGGCTTTCTATATCACATAGAGGATGGAGAGAAGGATTAATCGACATAACAGCATTCTTTTATCTAGTCACACAAAGACAAGAAAACATTAATTTCTACTTCTGCAAATCTATTCCCTTTTAAGCATGAAAACAACATCTTTCCTTTCCTCTACCCACAAACTCTGGCATTCTGTATTCTAAAAAAAAAAAACCCAAAAAGTAAAAATTGGCTGCAGGTCAGTTTGCTCAATCCACTTTTACAATAAGAGTAAGAGAAGTCTTCCCAGGGCCTCAATGCTTTCAAATAAACTTATGAATTCTGGTAGAAATACTCTTTAAAAATTCAAATACTTGGCACAACTATAGAAAAAAAAATTTACACATGGAGAAGGCTAGATTCTTAGAAGATATCAAAAGTGACTGATTTTGAAGCAAAACAATATATTTTTAAAGTGTTTAAATAAGTTTTTTGGTTAAAAAAGTCTATCAATGATTAATCAGATATTCATTCAGCCATTCATCATCTAAAAAATATGTGAGTGCCTAATAAGTGCCACGGACTGTTATAAGAACAGAGACTAACATTTGTCAGTAAAAAAATGTTACTAAGTCATCAGAGAAAGCATAAGATAAAAATAGTAGATATGTGTGAAATAAGTTTGAAAAGAAGTGATTAGACCTATCCTCCCTGAGATCAGGAGAAATACAAAGCACATCAACGTAACAGGACAAAAGAAAAAAATAATCGAGCTCTTCAACAATGAATTTTTAATCGTTCCATTCTCAACTGATCAATTAAAGAAATAATACAACAATAAGATGATTCAAAGCAAAGGGAGCTACATACAACTCAATAACAAAAAAGCAAACCCAATTGAAAACTGGGCAGAAGACTTAAATAGACATTTCTCCAAAGAAGACATACAGATGGCCAACAGGCACATGAAAAGACGGTCAACATTTCTAATGATTAGAGAAATGCAAATCAAAACTACAATGAGGTACGACCTTGTATCGGTCAGAATGGCCATCATTAAAAAGTCTACAAATGACAAATGCTTAAGAGGGTGTGGAGAAAAGGGAATCCTCCTACACTGTTGGTGGGAATGTAAATTGTGCAGCCACTGTGGAAAACAGTATGGAGGTTCCTCAAAAAACTAAAAATAGAGTTGCCATATGACCCTGCAATCCCACTTCCAGGCATATATCTGGAGGAAACTATAATTGAAAAAGATACATGCACCCCAGTGTTCACTGCAGCACTATTTCCAATAGCCAAGACATAGTAACAACCTAAATGTCCATCAACAGATGAATGGATAAAGAAGATGTGGTACATATTACAATGGAATACTACTCTGCCAGAAAAAAGAGTGAAATAATGCCATTTGCAGCAACATGGATGCAACTAGAGATTATCATACTAAGTGAAGTAAGTCAGCAAGAGAAAGACAAATAGCATAGGATATCACTTACATTTGGAATCTAAAATATGACACAAATGAACATATCTACGAAACAGAAACACAGACATAGGAAACAGACTTGTGGTTGCCAAGGGTGGGGGGTGGCGGGGTGGGGGAAAGGATGGATTGGGAGTTTGGGATTAGCAGATGCAAACTATTATACACAGAATGAATAAACAACAAGGTCCTACTGTATAGCACAGGGAATTATATTCAATATCCTGTGATAAACCATAATGGAAAAGAATATGGAACAGAATGTATATATATATGTATAACTGAATCACTTTACTGTACAGTAGAAATGAACACAACATTGTAAATCAACTATACTTGAATAAAATAAATTGTATATAAAAAAATAAAGGGAGCTAAAGTTAAAAACATTAAAACCATAAATGCCATTTTTCCTAAGTCAAGATTCCTAAACTTTGGCTAGAAAAATGCAAGAAGTAAACTATCAAAATACAGATTTATAACATCAAGAATTATATGAAGTATCTGTACCTGATTTGTCCTGTAGTTCATCTAGTCTCTCCCCTCTTTCTATTACCTTTGTAATATTTTCTTGCATGACATCAATGACTTCATCCACCTGGTTCTGAACACTAGTTTAAAAAAAAAGATTAAAAAATAATGCATTCTTCTTTTGAGAATTTTACAGTTTTTGAGACTTTCATTAGACATGATAGAAAACAGCAAGTTCTCAGTTATTCAACTCTAAAATGTTTAAGTTTAAGGCTTGTAGCAACAGTCCTTCCATTTGTGGGCTTGATTACTCAGGCAATTAAAAGACAACATGATACAAATAAAGTAATATTTAACTTATAGTTTATTCTTAACCCTGTTTCTTCAAATTAAATATACTGTCAGAATGCTCAGTAACTGCAGAATTTAGTCAAATAGCTTGACTCTATATAATCCGTTTCATTTTCTTTTCAATAGGCCACTGAGGCATCACATAGACACAGCTATAAGCTACTTTTGCTATACATATAGTTCACACACTAAGGCTAACAAAAGTTTGCCCAGGTATGTTAGAAGCCTATGAAAAATATTCAGTTTCCAAAATGGAAAGGTACAGTATGCTCTAGGACACTAAGGCTCAGTGGGTATAACTCTTCACAGCTCACCAGTTTCCTCTTAAACAGGGTTTAGAACAGTGAGCAACACTTGGGAGGGTTTTGAAGCACCCACGAAGGAGCAAAGAGGAAACATTTTTGGTTGTTCTTCAAAATGAAAATATGATTTTCTTCTTTATATCAGGTGATGAGAGCCTGTTCCAACCAAACTTCAGACTGTTCAGTGAAGATTTTTTTTTTAATAAATTTATTTATTTATGGCTGCGTTGGGTCTTTGTTGCTGTGCGCGGGCTTTCTAGTTGCAATGAGCAGGGGCTACTCTTCGTTGTGGTGCGCGGGCTTCTCATTGCAGTGGCTTCTCTTGTTGCAGAGCATGGGCTCTAGGTGCATGGGCTCAGTAGTTGTGGCGCATGGGCTTAGTTGCTCCGCGGCATGTGGGATCTTCCTGGACCAGGGCTCAAATCCATGTCTCCTGCATTGGCAGGCGGATTCTTAACCACTGCGCCACCAGGGAAGTCCCATGTTCAATGAAGATTTAAACTAAATTCAAAAATTTAATAATTGGACCTCAGCTGCCTACTCTCACTCAGAAGTTACCCCCAGGGTACATAAACATAGAAATGATTAAGTGTCTAGTTTTCCTCTGTTGCTTCAATCATTTGACAAATGTCTAGTTTTCCCCTGTTGCTTCAATCATTTGACAAAATGTTACCTTAAATTAGTTTATGGAATAAGTCATGCCAGAGCAATATTTAAAAGGAGAAATAAAATGAACTCACAGTTCTTATAACTCAAAAACTGGTTAAAATATAAAAACTGTTTAAAGTGGATTACTAGCAACTATAAGTAGATATATGTTTTAAATAAATAAGGATATGCAATTATTCTTTCTAGTCGGGGAAGTGTATCAATTTATCAAATATCACCTAGGAAGCTTTTTAAAAAATGTCACAATACACATCTCCTCACTGCCCCTCTACTCTATAGTGAGTTGGGAGTAAGGCAGGACATGTGTAATTTTGAAAAAGAGTTCTATCCCTTCCCTGCCATGAAGATATATCTTCAAAAAGTTTGCTTTAAAAACAAATGAAGGCCCATTTAGACACATACGGGTTCGTAAGAAGCATCCTCAGATTCAAGTAGAATTACTACGTTTGATGATAGTCACCCCCCCTCCCATGTTAAAAGCACCCACTGATTATCCACACATAGACTTCAGGGTTCATCATAGCTTCCTAGAGTTCTGTGCCTCTCACACAGTATTCTACTAAACTGTATAAAACTGAAGCACAACTAAAGTGGGACATGGAGAATTCCCTTCTGCCCACACAGATCTGAAAGAGCCCCCACGTGTCTAAGAGGTCTTGTTGCAACTCCTAAGCAGACAGCTAAAGATGTAAAATCTTATACAAGAACAATGGCACAAATACTTAAGCAATTTATTCAATAAATAATTAAGAAGAGCTTACTATGTACTGTTTTAGGCACTAGGAAAACAATACTGAACGAAGCAGACAATAATTCGGGCTCTCATTGAACGTATGCTTAAATGTGCAATGAATGCACTTCATTAACCTTCAGAGTTGTTTAACAGTCTGTGTCTAACCCATTACTGTATATTGTTTACAGCATTTAACACTAAGCGAAAGTATTTATTTATTTACATGCTTATTTCCTGTCTCTCCCCATTAGAAGGTAAGTTCAACAAATGCAGAGACCTTGCCTACTTTGTTCACTTTTGTAGCCCCAGTACCTGAAACATTGCTTGGGAAAGAGTATGCACTTAATACTTAACAGCTGAATAAGTGAACAGTTTGGGTATAAGTCCTGCAAAGCACATCCAGCTACTTAAGAAAGAGTTATAAGGCAGATATAAGAATGTAGAGGTCTCCATTTTTAACTATAATGGAAGCAGAGCTATTGTTTATCAAGGGCCAATCTTGAAATTCCTAGGTAGTTATTTTCCATCATATGCAAGAGATAATAGCGTAAAGTAAGGTGCAGCACAGTGGAAACGGACAGAACGTACGGCAGCACCTACACATAATCAGATTATAGCTATTATGGATGTTAATATACCTATACTACATGTGATTTTAAAACAAAACCAAAATAACTGAAGGAATCATTATGGTCCCAGAATCCCTATCAGCAAAAGACTCCATGAATAATACAGGCAGATTAATTGGAATAGAATTCATAAAATTACAGATTAAGTCTTACTAGATTATGATAAACCTAGGGGTATTACCTCAACAACATGACACACATGTAATCTCTATGGCTAATGGAAACCACCCAACATTTTAATTTTTCCTGCCAAGTGATTAATAGATTATTGTTACTTTCTCCTTCACAGATTACTATCCACTGGTATAACCCTCTTAATCCAGCTACTGTATAACTGTCATTCAATCTTAAGATAACGGAAAATCTCATGACTGTGCTTCTATATTTCAAGATATTTTCATGCCCAGAACACAACTTTTATAGAAAAAAAAGAGAAAATCATCTACTTATTTAATATAAAGGATAATTTTTTAAAAAACAAGTGGAAAGGGACCTCCCTGGTGGTCCAGTGGTTAAGACTCCATGCTCCCAATGCAGGGGGCCCAGGTTCGATCCCTAGTCAGGGAACTAGATCCCACATGCCACAACTAAGAGCCCGCATGCCACAACCAAAGATCCAGCAAGTTGCAACTAAAGATCCTGCATGTGACAATGAAGATCCCACATGACGCAACTGAGACCCGGCACAGCCAAATAAATAAATAAATATTTTTTTTTAAAGTGAAAACATATTTCCCCATGATTTTTTACATTTTCATAGTAGTTACAATACTTTGATTTCTATTTTATGTTGGTCTTATCCTCACTATTATACTGTAAATGCCTTAAAAACAGAGATTGTCCCACTCATCTGTTTCCCAGGTCATGTGAAATGTGCCTAGTAGAAAACAGGCATTCAACAAATATTTTCTGATCTGAATTAAGTATTTCATTTATTCAAAAATATATATTAGGGAGTTATTATTATCCTACGCATTGAGGATACTGATGTGAATGTTTTGATCCTCAGCAAGATTACAGTCTAGTGGGGAACACTGGTAGCGAGGATTATATTACCATATGTCAAGTGCCATAATGGAAGGAAACACATGGTATCAGTCGTGCAGCCTAGATGAATCCAGCCTGGACCAGAGATGGCATCAAGATCCTGGTGCTGAGTTTTGAGAGGTTAAGGGTGAACTGGGCAGAGTAAAAAAGGTGATGGATGGTGGCAAAGTTCTAGGCTAAAGGAATAACAGGAGGGGATATTTCAGGAACCAATGATTACCTGGATATGGGTGATGGAGCTGGGGCAAGAAAAGGGTAGAGAACTTCTAGATTTATAATTTGAGCAACTGAGTAGATGTAGATGATGGTCATTAACTGAAATAGAAAATTAAGGACTCAAAGAAAAAGCAAGTTTTTGAAGGAGGGGGTGGAGATTTATATCATTTCCTGTTAGAGTCATATAGTAGAAGAAAGGACACAAGAGAGAACATACCCAGGAAAATATCAAGACATGTAGAGAAAAGACATTTTAACATTGTTTTAGTAATTTATTTGTTTATTTTTGCTGTGTTGGGTCTTTGTTTCTGTGCGAGTGCTTTCTCTAGTTGTGGCAAGCGGGGGCCACTCTTCACCGCGGTGCACAGGCCTCTCACTATCGCGGCCTCTCTTGTTGCGGAGCACAGGCTCCAGACGTGCAGGCTCAGTAGTTGTGGCTCACGGGCCTAGTTGCTCCGCAGCATGTGGGATCCTCCCAGACCAACTCGTGTCCCCTGCATAATTAGGCAGATTCTCAACCACTACGCCACCAGGGAAGCCCTTAACATTGTTTTAAATCCTGCTTAGAGTCTGACAGCACTTGTGTTCCTGAGATGTCTCTATTCTAATTATCACCACTACAGGGAGGCTGCGTGGTGTAGTGTAGAGAGGCCAGGCTCTGGACACAGACAGATCTGGGTTTGCAATTCAGCGTTATCACTTACTATGTATGTGGCTTTGCAAGTCATTTTGCAAGCCTCTCTGAGCCTCATATTTTCTCACCTTTGAAATGAAGATGATAATCTTTCCCTTATGAGAATTAGATGTGACAAGTGTGTTTTAAACACTTAGCACGGTTCCTAACACTTAGCATGTGTTTAATGTCAGTGTTCTTCCATTAAGGAAAAAAAAAGCTCATGCTCTGCAACACACACTCATCTGTTATTTTATAAAGAAAATATTTATTTTCACAGTTAACACCCCCATCTTGTGGTCTCTTAAGGTACTGTTGACAAAAAGTTTTAAATATATGCTGTATTTTTGCATATATATATATATACACACACACACATACATATATACTGTATGTAGTATATATGCTGTATTTTTGCAATTATATATACACATATAGTATATATGTACATATATACGTATATATGTGTATATATGTGTATCTGTTCATCATAGAACATTCCTTGGGGGAATAAAGCTAAACTTGTTGGACCAAGGCTATAGATAGGAGATTTCCTACTTGTGGCAGAGAATGCCTACAATTCATTGGAGTGGCATTTATAATGCTACTATTTAAAAGCAAAGGAAACATTCCAAAGAGAATCATAAATTTTTTATATAGGCATGTGACTATTTAAAATCTTTCCCAAAAATCTTCCCTGAAAAGTGACATTGGAATACTAAAGAACCCATTAAAAGGACCTACTGTATCAGCACAGGGAACTATATTCAATATCTTGTAACAACCTATAATGGAAAAGAATCTGAAAAAGAATATATATATATGTATAACTGAATCACTGTGCTGTACAACTGAAATTAAACATTGTAAATCAACTTATACTTCAATTAAAAAAAGAAAGTGACACTGGGCATTTTTGTGGGATTAATCTGCTACCAACATGTCAATCAAATGCAGACAAAGCAACAATGTTGCTGATCCACACATCAAAAAAACACCCTGGGGCTTCCCTGGTGGCGCAGTGGTTGGGAGTCCACCTGCCGATACAGGGAACGCGGGTTCGTGCCCCGGTCCGGGGGGATCCCGCGTGCTGCGGAGCGGCTGGGCCAGTGAGCCATGGCCGCTGGGCCTGCGCGTGCGGAGCCTGTGCTCTGCAACGGGAGAGGCTGCGGCATAGAGGCCCGCGGACCGGGGGGGGGGGGGGGGGGGGGGGGAACCACCCTGTATGGAAACGTTACACATTAAGCGGTGACAACACACCTTAAAGAAACTCATCAGTGCTCCCAATTTTAGTTACTAAACAAATGCCAGGAATCTGTCCTTGGGCAAGTAGCGTAGCAGGTTGTGCTCCACCATTTGGGGCCACTTTGGGCACACGCCTGAGTCATGCCCTGGTTAGATAAACACTCATGGGGTTGTGTCAAAGGTTAATGTGTGTTTTGATGACTGACCATTTTCTGAGTACGTATGATAAGCCTTCAGCTCTAGAGTAAGAGCCATTACACTTTCTAAATAGTGCCTTACTGTTCTAAAATTCTGTGATCACCAACGTTATTATGGTAATTTAATATGCACATATACACATTCACGTGCATGTGTACTCGGCACTTACTAACATAGACATATCCTGCAATGCCCACTCTGTACAACTGGCACTGGTTTTGGGGTCAGCTGGAAAGTCATACTCAAAAGACTCACTGGGCCACATTCAGTACCAGGCTCACTCTGCAGAGGATGTCAGACAGGAAATGAAGCACATTGGCAGGGAAAAAAACAGGTGTGTCATCAGTGGAGTCCTCTTCTCCTGTGGCAGCTGAGGTATATATGTGGGTGGATAGAGAAGTCACTCTGGCTCAGAGAAGGGCAACCGTTCTGCCATGGCATCCTCGCAACCTTGAATGCCTTGTGATCCTTCCAAAGATGAGGATGAGTGGCTTCTGAGGCCATCTCCCACTCACCTCCCCATCTCCCCTAGGAGACTGTCATGAGACAGTTTCTTATCACCTCCCAGGTTCTGATGACATATAAGGCTTTCGGCAGGATATACCTGCAGACTATAAAACCACTTAGCTGCAGGCGAGAATTGGCTCCTTAGTAATAGGGCATCTTACTTTTCATACTGTAGCCACCTGGACCCCTCTATTTTGGTATCATCATTTTTGGTGTTTAGGACAAGAACCCAGGGAGCTGGCACCTTTGGCTACTCTTCCTTTGACAATCTATGTAAGTAATAAACTGTCTGAATCTCAGTGGCTCATTGTATCTTTACTGGCTGAATCAGACACTTGAAGCAGCAGAGACTCTCTTCTGCTGGCCTTGAAGAAGCAAGCACTGTGGGTTGTACAGGTGCAGGGAAGTGCATCCTGTCAACAACTACCTGAGCTTACTCAGGAGCTTCGGATGAGATCAAAGCCCTGGTGACACCTTAATTTCAGCCTTGTGAGACCCTGCAGAGGGCCCACCTAAGCAGTGACTGAACGCCTGACCCATGGAAAATGTGAGATGATGAATGTTTGCTGTTTTAGGTTGCTAGGTTCAGGGTAACTTGTTATACAGCAATAGAAAATGAAAACATCCCATTTAGTAGTCAAATCAATTTGTTGGTACCTTGCTTCTGTATTACAGAATCCATTAGCTAGGATCAGGATAAATGTGGACCTATTTCTTCACAACAACCACTACTTGACTAAAGCCCAAGTATCTAATCAATAGCTTTTTTCTTTTTTAAACTGTGGTTTATTATTTATTTATTTTTGTCACATCACGCAGCATGAGGGATCTTAGTTCCCCCAACAGGGATCGAACCCATGCTTCCTGCAGTGGAAGCGTGGAGTCTTAACCACTGGACCACCAGGAAAGTCCCTCATCAATAACTTGATATCCCATTACAATACCCTTCCCACTATGTGCCATCTATATCCAGACTTAGGGTAGCAACCACCCCTCCTTAGATCCTGAACCTGGGCCATTCAGTTTATCTTCCAGTTTATCTTTTATAGCTCGGTAAGTTTCCAGGCCTATTTCACTGCTCCATTCATTCCTTCTCCCTTCTTGCCAGGACTCATACGATTCTAATGTTAGATACATTCACTACAGCATTATCCACCAGCTACCATCAACAATATATACAGAAAAGCTCTAAACTGAAAATTAATGAGCCATAAAACTTAGATCAATAAATGGATTAGGATAAGTAATAGATATGAACAAATTCTGGAAGTATATAAACAAGATACTGTACTTCAGAAAACTAAATCTATTATATTACTTTTATTATCATGGTGAAAATGGGAATCAAGCTATAGATTTAAAACCAAAATAGACCTTGAGATTATGCTAAATAAATGAATTTGATATATAATAATTAAATTAAGAAAACCAACAACCAGAAATTGCATCTCCTTAGCTATAATTAAGAGGTAACTTTGTGAAAATGAAAAGAATGACTGGGTTTTTACAACCTAGTAGTAATATTAGTCTACATCAAGGCTCAGCAAATTTTTCTGTAAAGGGCCAGACAGATAATAGAGACTTTAGATTTTGTGGGCCATAAGGTCTCTGTCACAACTACTCAAATCTGTCACTGTAGTTTGAAAGCAGCCAATATATCTATAGGAATGGCTGTGTTTCAATAAAACTTTACAAAAACAGGTGGCAGCCAGATTTGGCTCATATGCTGTAGTTTGCCAACCCCTGGTCCTTGTAGAAATATGATAATCATTTAAACAAATGAGCATCTCACAAACTTACTGCTTAATTTTTTCATTTCTAGGTCCAAATCTTGGTCCAGATGGTCCCCTTCTGAAAACAAAACACCAAGTACATATTAATGAGCATTAAAACAAACCCCAAAACAGAAAACACACACACTTGCTGAATTCTAAACATGGATCATTTATCATAAGGAACCACATATTACTGGTACTGATGGAACCTAATGATATTTAATCATGTCTGTACTTCATTGGTACTTAGTGCAGGCCATCACAACTTAATTCTTCTGAATGTTATCACTTTTAATATAATTGTTAGTTATACACAGGTAGTTTTAATCATTAAACTCTGAAATACCATAAAACTAAAGTGCCAGTGACTATTAATAACTTTATGATCAATTATAGAACACTAGAAGTCCAACTACCTTGAATTTAGGCTCTAATTAAATGCTGATTTGGGGGATGGATGTAGAGAAAAATCCATTCAAAACACTAAAATTTTTCAAGTATGTTTTTTGATTACTCATCTTAAAACTTAGCAACATAACTAAAGGGAAATTTAAGAGTCTATGAAAATATTAACATTTCTCAAATTATTATCTCTCCATTATAGTCGAGTGTTGTATCATTTAAACCAATCCATTTTAATAATCTGAAAATTAAAATTTTTTGATGTTTTAAGTAATTTTCCATCTTCTGATGATAGAAAATAAGGTATAAACCATAAAACTCAAAAAAGAATAGGTTCTGTACCAATTAAACACTAATTTCCCATTTCCCCCTCCTCCCAGCCCTTGGCAACCTCCATTCTACTTTGTGTCTCTATGAATTTGATTACTCTAGGCCTCAGATAAGAAGAATTATGTAAAATGTATCCTTTTGTGACCAGCTTCTTTCACTTAGCATAATTAATGTCTTCAAGGTTCATCCATGTTGTAGCATGTGTCAGAATTTCCTTCCTTTTTAATACTGAGTACTATGCCATTGTATGTACCTACCATATTTTGTTTATCTATCTTTCCACTGATGGACACTTGGGTTACTTCCACCTTTTGGCAATTATGAATAATCCTATGAACAGGATTATTGTTCATAATAATCAACAGGTGTTAATTAATTTTTTTTTTTTTTTTTTGGCGGTATGTGGGCCTCTCACTGTTGTGGCCTCTCCCGTTGCGGAGCACAGGCTCCTAACACACAGGCTCAGCGGCCATGGCTCACAGGCCCAGCCGCTCCGTGGCATGTGGGATTTTCCCGGACCAGGGCACGAACCCACGTCCCCTGCATCAGCAGGCGGACTCTCAACCACTGCGCCACCAGGGAAGCCCATGTTGATTAATTTTTAAAAAATTATTTCAGAAATTTTATTAGCTCTGTCTCCCTTTCAATACATAGACAGAACCACAGGGTGTGGTAGTGTGCCGGTTTTGTCATCAGGCCCTTTGGAAGATGTACAGCATTATTTGGGAGTCAACCGCCAGTGTACAGTTAGCCTGAAAAGTTTTTGTTTCTCACTTACATTCAGGTGATCACTTGTTTAGCCAAAGCATCTGACCTTTTCAATACTGAGTCCTTTGTTGACAGGTAGCTGTTGCTCTAGTCTAAGGCTTCTCACTGTAATTGGCACTATGAGCAATTAGCTTTTTGACTCTGGAAACCTTGTTACCTGTAGGAAATTATCTTCCCACTTCATCTGACTTTCCTGCCAAAAATGATACTATTTCCTGTTATTGGATTTGATTTCCATCCTGCAGGCTCTTTTTGCCAATTGCTTCATGGCTGTCAATTACTTTTTATAAAATGTTTTATACAATGTTTTTTATTTGGGGAAAAAAAAGCCTCTATGAAAAACTCCACAACATTATAGCAAAGTGGGAGGTAAATGTTTCCTCCCAGGCATACCCTTCTGGAGGTATGAGCCTCCAGAGAAAACTCCTGCAACAATATGTCATCCTTCCTGACTTTGCAAATAAAACCGAGGCCCTTTCTAATGAAAACTGCAAAGGATTGACCAGGTTAATTAATTCTGACAGAGCATCAAGGCAATCCAACAGGAAAAAGATAATCTTTCCATCAAATGGTGGTGGAACAGTTGGATATCCATATGCTCCCTGGCCCCCCAAAATGATCCTTCACCCTTAACTCAACCATATATAAAAAAATTAACTTATAATAGATTATAGACCTAAATGTCAAAGTCAAAACAATAAAACTTTTGGAAGAAAACAAAGAAGAAAATCTTAGAACCTTTAGGTTTGGCAAAGATTTCTCAAACAAAAACAATGAAAGGAAAAATTAATAAACTAATTTCATCAAAATCAAAACTCTGCTCTTCAAAAGATACAGTTATGAAAAGGAAAAGATTAAATTACAGACTGGGAGTAAATATCTGTAAAACATATATCTGACAAAGAACTTATATTTTGAATATATAAAAAATTCACAACTTAATAAGAAGACAAACTTAGAAATGGGCAAAAGATTTTTAACATGTACATCATCAAAGAAGATATAAGGGGCTTCCCTGGTGGCACAGTGGTTAAGAATCCGCCTGCCAATGCAGGGGACACGGGTTTGAGCCCTGGCCCGGGAAGATCCCACATGCTACGGAGCCACTAGGCCCTTGAGCCACAACTACTAAGCCTGTGCTCTAGAGCCCACGAGCCATAACTACTGAGCCCACGTGCCACAACTACTGGATCCTGCGCGCCTACTCCCCATGCTCCACAACAAGAGAAGCCACTGAAACAACAAAGAGTAGCCTCCGCTCGCTGCAACTAGAGAATGCCTGCACACAGCAATGAAGACCCAACACAGCCAAAAATAAATAAATAAATAAATAAATAAAAAGAAGATATAAGGATGGCAAATACACACAAAAGATGATGTTCAGCATAATTTGTAACTATGGAAATGCAAATTAAAACCGTATGGGATACCACTATACACCCACAAGAGTGGCTAAAATTAAAAGACTGACCATATGCAGTGCTGATGAGGATCTGGAGCAACTAGAACCCCCATACAGTACTGGTAGGAATATAAAATGGTACACAACTTTGGGAAATGGCTGTAAACATACACCAGCCATTCCACTCCTGTTTACCCAAGAGAAATGAAAGCATAAGTCCACACAAAACCTGTACGTGAGTGTTTATGGCAGCTTTATTTGTAATAGCTAAAAACTAGGAACACCCCAAATATCCATCAATAAGTGAATGGGTGAATGAATTGCAGTATGTTCATACAATGGACCACTACTCAGAAATAAAAAGAAACAAACTACTGATGCATGCGACAACATGGGTGAATCTCAAAATAATTATGCAAAGTGAATGAAGCCAGTAAAAAAAAGAGGCATACTGTGTGACTCCACTTCCAAAAAAAAAATCTAGGCAATACAAACTACAGTGATAGAAAGCAGATCAGTGGCTGCCTGGGACTGGGAGAGTGACAGATTACCAAGAGGTTTGAGGAAACTTTTGAGGTGATGGCTATGTTCACTATTTGAATTTCATGATGATTTCACAGGTATACAGTGGATATGCCAAAACTCTTATTGTACACTTTATATGTATTTTATTGTATGCCAGTTACACCTCAATAAAGCTGTAAAAAGAAAAACAAAAAACTTACAGAAAAAAGTCCTCTTCTTCATCTGAATCATCTTCCAAAAGATTTCTCTGTCAAAAAAAGAAAAAGACTTGAGTTTTTAGATTCCAAGGGGCTTACAAACTGTCAGGGGCAGAGTAATGAAACAAGTTCTATCCTGGTGAAATTTCTTAACTCCAAGCTTCCAGACACAGGGAAGAGTAATTACAGGTGCTTCACTGGAAGCTAAAAGATATGGAACCACACTGCAGACTTTCTAAGAAAATGCTTATAAGCCCGGAATCCTTTGACTGACCACAAGGTAGAGAGGTCACTGAAGCTGGCATGGGAGTAAGGGATGCAGGCAATCAGGGAGGGGCAAGTCCTTCCTCCTCCCCCTGCTTTCCAGTCTCTCTCTATCAGCAGAACCTAAGAAGAAGCTGGGGGCAAAGGAGAAATGTAGCTGCAGAGTCCAACTCTAGCATCAGAGAGAAGAGTATAGAAGGTAGGTTTGGAGCTGAGAGACAAGGCTTTATTAACTGGCACAGTCCACCTAACAGCTACTCGGCCTACGAATAGCCCTCTACACATACTTGAACTTCCAAACAAAAACAACTTTATACTTTTACCTTATAAGATACAACTGTTTTTATTAAAATGAGGAATGTCTCACCTTCTACGCAAAAGGGGAAGATATAAAGTTCCAAAAGGAGGCTGAAGAAGAGCAAAACCCAGACCTTTTCAGCATGCAAGAACTCAAACAGTATACAACTTGTAGGCCGAATAACGGCTCCCCATAGATGTCGACATCCTAATCCCCGAAACCTGTGAATATGTTTCCTTGAATGGTAAAAGGAACTTTGCAGAAGTTATTAAATCAAGGATCTTGAGGTTGGAAGATCAATATAGTGGGCCCAAAGTCATCACAAAAGTACTTAAAAAAGAGAGAGGCAGAAGTGTGTGTGTGTGTGTGTGTGTGTGTGTGTGTGTGTGAGAGAGAGAGAGAGAGAGAGAGAGAGAGAGAGAGAGAGAGACAGAGAGGGAGGGAGGGAGGGAGGAGGGAGGGAGGGAGGGAGGGAGGGAGGGAGGGAGGGAGGGAGGGAGGGACAGAGGTTGGAAGATGTCACCCTGTTGTATTTAAAGATATAGGAAGGGGCATGAGCAAGGAGGTCAGGCAACCTCTAAAAGTTGGGAAAGGCAAGGAAAGAGCTTCTTCCCTATAGTCTCCAGAAGGAACATGGCCCTGCTAGTGCCTTGATTTTATCCCAGCAAGATCCATTTTGGACTTCTGGTCACCAGAACTATAAGACAGTAAATGTGTTGTTTTAAGTTTGTGGTAATTTGTTAAAGCAGCAACAGGAAGCAAATACAACACCCATGTACCTTTTCTGAAGTAACTACTTAAGGAATTACACCAGCTAAAAAGAAAATTAAATCAGAACAAAGATCTTAAGATGGAGATTGACATACTCAGCACATCTAATAAAATGTGTGGTCAAACCTAAATGGAAGGGCTTCCCTGGTGGCGCAGTGGCTGAGAGTCCGCCTGCCGATGCAGGGGACACGGGTTCGTGCCCCGGTCCGGGAAGATCCCACATGCCACGGAGTGGCTGGGCCCGTGAGCCATGGCCGCTGAGCCTGCGCGTCTGGAGCCTGTGCTCCGCAACGGGAGAGGCCACAACAGTGAGAGGCCCGCATACCGCAAAAAAGAAAAAAAAAAAAAATCTAAATGGAAGATAATTGTGAACTATAACTTGAAAGATAAAAATGCATAATATAAAGAAAAATTCTACAAGAATCTAAAACTTTTCTCACAAAACCCAAAAGCAGGAAGTGGAGAGTAAAATGAGGAAGTTAAAAGCAAAGTAACATGCTCATCCTAGTGGGGAGAGGAGTGGAGAAGTGGGAAGAGGCCTAGAATGAAAAAGTAGTGTGGAGGGGCATAGTTTTTGGCGTGTTGAGAGAGAACACAAATTTAAACATTATTGTTAACATATAAAGTTAATTAAAAATAGAGAGGGAAAGAGAAAGAAAGGGAGGAAATTTTTAACTGCCTAGTGGTCCTGGGGGCAGGGAAAAAGTGAGGAAAAATAATCCATCTAGCTAAAGAAGTTAGGGAAAATAGGGAAAACATAAGAAGTACAATGAATGTCATTATCTCTATATATTATAATAAATAATACACAAAGAGTAAGAAAATGAAAAGAGGATGTGTTCAATATTCATTTAACAACTACGTCTGAGCATCTTCTATGTACTAGGCACTGTTCTAAGTACCAAGCATCAGCTTTGGACAAGACAGACAAGGTCTGAACTCTTACAAAAAAACACCTGATGGTGATGAATGTTATGCAGAGAATTAAAACAGTGATGGGATAAAAAGTGACAGGGTGACTAAATAAGATTAGGCTGTCAAGGAAAATCATTCTTAAAAGGTGAAATTTAGGCTGAGATCCAAACAATAACAAAGAGCCAACCAAAGATCAGGGTGAAGAGCATTCACTGCCAGCAGAGGGACTAGCAAGTGCAGAAAAAGTCCAAATATATCAGTTATCTTAATAAATGTGAATGGTTTGAATGCTTCTACTCGAAGTAAAAACTATACATAATTAGAGTTCAAAAAAATTGCAGCCAATATCTGTTTATAAGAAATTTACCTAAAATAAATGTCAAATAACGGATGAAAGAAAAAAGAGAGATGAAAGAGATATATTATCAAATTCTAACAAAAAGAATGTTAGAGTTAGCAAAAGTAATATAAAGAGATTATTTTAGGACAAGCATTAAACAATCAAATAAGATTTTACAATGACAAAATACACAATCCACTAAGATTTAACAGCAACGAATGTTTATATGTAACAATATAGTTTCAAAATACATAAAGCAAAAGCTGCTCAAATTATAAGAAGAAATGGATACATTCAAAAATCATAGGAAAGCTTTAACATATCCTTCAAAGATGGAGAAACCAGGAAGACAAAAAAATAAATAATCCAGAACTGTGTACTCAGCAAATGTTATTTTCAAATATCCAAGAAATGAATAAGCAATAAAAGAATTTTAATAAATAGACCAAACTAGAAATTACACAGGCCACATTCTCTGGACATAATGCAATGGAAATTAAAACAAATAAAAGGAAATTTTAAAACAGTCTTCTGTTAAAATGTTAAAAGGTAAATGCAAGCTTAACAAACTATTTAGAAATCAATGACACTGGGGACATTACAAGACAAAATCTGTAGAGTATGGTCACAGCAGTACCTAAAGGAAAATGTGACCTTAAATCCATTTACTTATGAAATTACAAAGCCTGAAAATATATAAAATAAGTATTTAACTATTAAGATGAGTAAAGTATTCCTAAGTCACAAACAACCCCAGAATTTCTAAAGAAAAAAAATTCATGAATTTGATTACATAAAAATTTAAAACGTAAAGAACATACAATATCATACACAAGGTTAAATGGCAAGTAACAGGCTGGGAAAGAAATTTGCAACATACTTTCAGACTAAAGGGTCTGGTATCTCTCTTATATAAAGATCACTGACAAACTAGTAAGAAAAAGACACATTATAGAAAAATCATCAAAGAAGAGAAATAGACAATTCCTAACAGAAAAAGAAATGGCCAATGACCACATGAAAACATGTTCAAAGTCAATAATACTCAGGAAGATACATTACTTCCTTCAACAAATATTTCTAGCTAATAAGTAACAATCATTACATTTACAATACAGTTTATTTGCCTTAGAGGATGATGATACTAATGTGTGTTTATTATAGTTGCCCAATGAGAAACACAATGAAAACGAATGTCTTTACACTTATTCACTGAACAAAAACACAAGAGCTAGGGATACATTATCAAAAAAGGGTAATGAGATACAATGAGATGTCATTTCACACCCACTAGGCAGATAATAACAAGTGTTGGTGAGGAGAAATTGGTGGTGAGGAGAAATGTGGAGAAATTAGAACTCTCATACACAGCTGGATGGGAATATAAAAATTGTGCAGCCACTCTGGAAAACAGTTTGGCAATTCTTCAAAAGGTTGAACATAGAGTTACTATAATACCCAGTAATTCTACTACTAGGTATTTACCCAAGAGAAATGAAAACATATGTAATGAAATGAAATGAAAATAAAAACTTGTATGTGAACATTCATAGCAGTGGTATTCATAGTAGCCAAAAAGTGTAAATAATCCTAAATGTCTATCAACTGGTGAATGAATAAAGAAAGTGTAGTATATTCATATAGTGGAATATTATTCAGCAATAGAAAAGAATGAAGTACTGATACATACTACAACATGGATGAACTTTGAAAACATTATGCTAAGAAGCCATTTACAAAAGACAACATAGTGTATGCTTCCATTTATATAAAATGTCCAGAATAGACAAATCTATAGATTTGTGGTTGCCTAGGGCTGAAGGGATGAGGAGGACGGGGGATGATTGCTAAAAAGTACAGAGTTTCTTCTTGGAATGATGAAAGTGTCCTAAAATTGATGGTGGTGATGGTTGCACAATTTGGTACTAAATACTAGTTACTAAAATCCACTGAATTGTACACTTTTAATGAGTGAATTGTATGGCATGTTAATTATATCTCAATAAAGCTGTTATCAAAAGTGTTACAGGAAAGAGGAACAAAATTTTTTAAAGTTTTATAAAAGTAATTTATAAATTCTTAGAACCAATCAGTTATCAAATTTCATGATCTGATAAACATTCAAAAGGAGGACTCTAGTTAAACAGCCAATTGTTTTTTCAATTCTGCTATCTAATATCCTATTTTTACAATAAATTGAGGTAGTATTCAACCAACAATGTAAAAAGAAAGTGCCATAGTTATGGTCTTAGAAGTAGAACTGATTGAAACTGTATATTTTATATTTTTGAGTAAATGAAGCTTATTCTAAAAAGTTTACTAGCAGTTAGTCTGTTGGTGGATTGTATCCCCCTTCAAGCAAAACAAAAACAGACACTGAATAAAGAGTTAGAATAAAGGGATGACAAATGATTCCTGTACTGTATTTCAAGATACTCCTAAATCATAAGATGTTAGACAGAGGTTCTAAGGTTGTGCAAAAAAGGAGCATGTAAAATGAAGTCAAACAGACTATCTGCTGTTTAAGGGCAGAGACCATGCCCTCTAGTTTTTAGCACAATGCCTAGCACATAGTAGGTAGTCAATAAACATTCGTTGCATGAATCAGAAAATAAAGGAATGGCAAGAAGATAGGAAGTGAGGGAGGGCTTTAGGTTGCTGGATGAAAAAGAATAGCTCTAATTCCTTCCCTCAATAAATACTTATTGATTACTTATTCTAAAAGTAGCCTATCTACAATACCCATATCAATGCTATCTTCCAAAATGCTGCATAATTTCTAGATTTATACAATCCTGCACAGAATGTTCTGAAATAAACTAAAAATTGAACATTATATAAAAGCTACTCTGGACTCTGTGGCAACTGCAGGACAAGAATCCTTTATCTGCAATTCCAAAATCTAAAAAGTTCTGAAAACCAAGAGATTTTATAAGCTCTGGAGTGAAAACTCATTTGGAGGAAAATCTTACCTGAATTGATGTCAGCTAATTTATATACTTAATTAGAATAATCAGACATTCCACTGAGAAATATTAATGTTTGGAGGTGCTGCTCTAGACCCCCAAAAGGCTCTTGTATAATGTGCACTAACTAGCTTTGTAAAATCTGAAAAATTCTGAGGAACTCCAACCACATTTGGCTCCAGAGTACTAAATAAGATATTGTGTATTTGTACAAAATTCCCTTTGAAAGACTAGAAAGAAGCTGGGAACATAATTTGGTCAATAATGGAAATAGAATTTGGTTGAGTCCCAATCTAAGTAACATATATTTTTTAATGTTTACTATGAAGAAAACAAATAGGATTCGAATATAGCCATAAATATTAGATTATTCTAAAACAAATTATTTACAAAGGAAAGAAAAGATATTTTGAATCTTTCTTTTTTAAAGATTAAGATTCTGAACTTACCCTTTCACTTTTCACAGAACCAGTGACATCATCATCATTTAGGTGGCGCTTAAACTTGGGAGGCATCTTTTTTAGTGAAGAAGTACTCTTCTACTTCTCAGCAGAATAAGTCTTCACCACCTTAAGGAGAAAATAAATTTCATCAGATTTGAGACTTTGGGGTATAAGCTAAAGTACTGAAAACAGCGTACAAGGCCCTATATGGTGGGGCCCCTCCACTTCTCTGACTGCAGCTGCTCCCTCTCACCTGCTCCACTCCAGTGACCCTGGCCTCCAAGCTAGGCCTCAATACACAACAGTTAAAAAGAGAAAATGGAGGTAACTTTTAGAGAACACGTGGGGGAAATTAGCGAAAATATTTTTATAAAATCAAAGAGCAGCTTGTACAGGAGACAGGGAAAATTAGGAGGTTGTCCCCTTGCAAGTGAGACATCAAATGCTTAAAGATTTTAACTTGGAGTCAGAAGACAGCAGAACACTTCTAATTCTCTCACTTTTAGGGAGCTGCTTAAACAATGATTCTGTTTCCTCATCTGTAAAATAGTGATTTCTAGGCTTCTGCATGGAGTTGGGATGGTCAAATCAGATTAATACACACATGCAAAAACATTCTGTCAATTACAACGTCCTGTTCTAATGCATAACACTAGGTGCTCCAAGAAAAGGGGTAAGTTTGGAAAGTACTGGGTTAAACAAAGCCAGGTTTTTTGTTTTTTTGGTTTGCTACAGAAAGTCTCACAGTCTTTTATATACTAATTTGCATTATGATTTTCCAGGAAAATGCTTGAATACGCAACATATTCAAAATTTTCTTGAGAAAAAGCTGACAAGCAAATACGAGTTTTCAGCCTCTTGGACTAGAAGATGGATGAATAAGAAGAATAGCTAAGGTGTACTGAATGTTTTACTATGTGTCAGGCACTATGCTCAGCGATTTACACACATTTTCTTTTACTCATTACAACACTCCTTCAAAGTAAGCACAAAGAAACTAAGAGAAAACTAAGGCTTGGTAAAAGATAAGTAACTAATAGTGTTAGTCACTCTACTGATTGAAATATCAGAAACATAGGCCTAAATTATTAATGGCTGTGCATGATCCATTTTAATATTTATCCAATTAGTTGTCTATCAGGTTATACAGTTCTGTTCTAGAAAGACCACTTCCCTGTAACAATCCAGCAGTCCTCTTTCCCCTTCCACGAGAAGAACCTCTAAGATTTTTAAGTGTAATTAGACATTTGTTGGTTAACATCATACACTTAAAAAAGAATAAACAAGCCCAGAGTACAGTTTCATAAACAAAATAAAGTAAAATTTTAAGTTGACTTCCCATCAAAACAAATTGATACACTTTTCTTTGATAAGAAATAATTTTCCAAACCAGAAACTTAACCACTTGTAACAAAAACCAAATACTTGCTACCTAAGTAACAGCTCTAGAGTTCTTCATTCTACAATATTTCTGTCACGTACATCCGGCATCTGACCCATTTTATTCCTCATACTTTGATTTCAGAATAATTCATTCATGCAGAAATGTTACAGAATGCATGGAGAAACAGATGACAAAGGAAGCAACCGAAGAACTAGAGCTTTTAATTATACCTGTATTTTATTTATATTTTAAACCCTACAAAGGGTCTGCTTCAATATCCAAAAGCAAATAACAGGCCAACTTACATAACATCTTTACAAAATATACAGTAAAGCTACAAGTTTAATGATGAGCAAACCCAAATTCAGGTCCCATAATCCAAGAATCAGCTTCATGAAGGCAAGAAATCACTGTCTGACAAACATAAAAGCCATCATCAAAGCAGCAGGCAGATTAATTAACTGTGCTTGAGGAAGCACAGGGTAAATGATGGTATTTGCACCAAATGACTAGTAGAAATAAACAATGCTCAGAAATTAGATTTATACATATTCTACCTAAGAGTTCTCCTGTACAAAATACATATGAATTCAGGTGTTTGTGTCTAGGTATATATGTAAATAAGAGAACCTTCATGATGTATTTCAACATCACCAATACATTTTTAAAATGTCACATCACCATACGCTTCTTATGCCATCATCATACGTTTACAATTTCATGTATGTATTTTTTGAAGAGGCAGTACGTTCTGAATTCAGTGGCTTTACAAGTAATAAACTTCTAACCTGTTGTTTAGCAAATGTTGGCTTCTATTTTGCTTTATGCAAACAAGCACACCAACCCCCCTAGTATTTCATTTCACAAAAAGCTTGAATCTGGGCAGAGGCTTCCCTTTTCCCAGCCTGCGTTCCCTTTCTGACTCCTCTTCCTCATCTCTCATCAGCAGTCTTGGTTGGTGCAGTTTCACGGAAATAAGTGACTTGGATGGACACAGCCTGGAGATGTTATTCACAAAACCTGTCAAAGTGTAATGATTCACCTCACCTTCCGGTCATTATAAACACAGCGGGGTTGGTGCTCTCTCTCCCAAACCTTTTCATGGTGAAACAAATCCATCCCTCCAGCAAGCAGCTCCGTTCACACACACACCCCCTCCCACCCCATCTGTCGCACCAGGCCACGTCCCCCGACATCTCCTAACTCTAGTCCTTTCTGTCCCAAGATCCCCACTCGCAGTCCGGGCTGCCTCCCACTCTTCTCCAATCTTCCCCAGCCCCGCCACTATTCTCTTCCCATTTCCCCAGAGCACCCTATAATTTCCATTCTTCTCCCCCTTAACCGCTCCCCATCGCACACCCCTGTCCTGGTCGCCCTTCCTCTGGGAACCCCCGGTCCGACCCCAGCCTTTTCCCACTCTGGGCTCCCTCCACTGCCCCCGAGGCCGGTCCCCCTGCCCGACGCGGACGTTGGGGGCGGCGGGGCAGGGACTTCGTCTCCGTTTCCTTTCTCCGCACATCACCCCTTCCCGTCGGGAACAGGCGGGCGGCCGTACCTGAGTCTCCCGGGGAGCTCCGGGCAGCTCTCCGGGGATGGGCAGGACTGGGCGGGCGGACGAAGGAGTGGGAAGCGGAGGAAGAAAGCGGGGAGGGGGAAGACAGTAGGCGCGGACCCGGCGCCTGCCGCTCCGCCGCAGCTGCACCCCCGCTCATCGAGCCGCTCGGCGCTCCGCAGCCTGGCGCCAGGCGGAGGGAGCGGGTCCAGGCCGCAGAGATCGTCGAGGGAGTCGATTCCCCCCTCCGCTCTCTACCTAGAGGCCCTAGCGGACGCGAAGTTTGGATCCCCGGGATGATTTTGTGCTTTAAGGGAGGAACAACAGCCGCGGGCTCCTGAGGTCCCAAGCGGAGGTCGGAAGTTCAGGGGAGGTGGTGGAAGCTCTGAGAAGTCACGCAGGGTGGGGCGCCTTAGGGCTTGCTCCTGGCTGGGGTTGATGAGGCCTTAATAACGTGGTGCTTTGTGCCTGGTCCATTCCCGGGGCTAAGGAAGCCTAGCGGAAAAATGAGGATGGCTCGAAGCCTGACGACCGGCTTCAGCTCGTCTTGGGCCTTTCCTGAAGTAAGGAGATGTGTGTGATCCCTTGTTTATAGCATCAGAGTTAGACTGATGAGAGATCTTCAGGAGAGAGATCTTCAGGGTTACTAATCCAGGCTCTTTATTTTAGACATTAGGAATCTCTCGTCCAAAGAGATTTACTTGACGTTGCACAGCTAGTTGGACAGGTTTGGGACAAGGACTCATTCTTTCCCCTGTATGCAGTAGAGTTCTAACCTAAAATAACCGGGTCCAGACACCAGGCAGACACCAGAGCCTTCAGATTTCAGGTGGGAATTCACTCTTGCACGTCCATTCCACTGTTCTCTTGACACCGCCTACCTCCCCACCCCCCAAGTTAGTAGCATATTTAAGCCTGCAGTGGCTGGGCATAGTAATCCAAAACAATTCCAGTTTCGTTTTTGCTTTCTCTTGTTTGTCTTATTTATCCATTCCTCCCACCCATGCCCCAGCTGGATTGTTTTATCATTTTTTTCCTATCAATTTTTTTGCTACACGTCATTTCTACTAAATATCTTTGGGTCCTTTGTTTAATACAGTGTTTTGATTTAGTGCATATTTAAGCCAAACAAACACTAATTGAATGATACCTTGGCTAGGGCAATGACTCTCAAGTTAATTACATAGAGTTGAACCACCTGGAAAGCTTTAGCAATGGATGCCCCCGCACTACTCTGAGATTCTGACTTAATTGGCCTGGGATGTTGAGAAACAGTAAGCCATAGGTTGTCAATTGAAGCTTCGGAAAGCCTGATGTTAGACTCGCTCATCATCTGTGAGTCCACTGCTCGGATCCAGGTTGACTTGGACTGAAATAGTCCACCTGGAAGGGAAGTTGCTTATAGTATGTTTCTCTGCTTGGGCATGATGATGAGACTACCCATCCACAGATAACCCAGAAGTTTTTTGGTTTGTGTTTTTCTGTCCACAGTTGACTTTATATCTGCATATCTGCTTGCTGTGGCTGCTTCCCTGCATTGGTGCCTTAGCCAGTTAGAGCTTTAGCCAGTTACAGCCTCTGCCCTTCTTACAGAACAACTTAAGGCAATGTGATTATTGAGCTGTACTGGCATGTCACTGCATAGCTTGCATGAATAAAACATTCTTTTTGGTTTTTTTAACCATAGTTCTTTAGTTCTGCCAAATATTTTGGTATAATTGGTTTGGGGAGGGCTAATGCAAGCCTCACCCTTTAATCACCTGAACAAAGTCTCTGACTATCCCCAACATTTCTGAAAGCTTAGAAAATGTCCTTTTACAGTTAATATGAATCAGATATGCCAGTTATCCTGAAAGAATATAAATAGCACTGGACGTAAAGTCAGAATGGGGTTCCAGTCTCACCAATTTGAATTATTTGATTATCTCCTACCCTATTTTCTCTTTCTTAAGCTCCAATTATTCAGATGTTGGTCCTCTAATTTTCTTATTTCTCTTTCAATTTTAGACCTTCACCCTTAGTGGGGCCTAATATCCTCCTCGCCAGAGATCCTTTGTTCTTTCTTTTCAGAGATCCTTTCTTCGAGGACTAAATCTCTGGACTTCTGATTGATTCTTAAATAGGCTTTCTATTATTCCTTCTATTTTTAGCCCACACCATGCTCAGAGGTATCTGGTGCTTTCAATTCCCTTATGTGGGGTTTAGCTGTGTGAATTAGGTTGCTTCATGACCTGCTTAGGATTCCTGTCTCTCAAGTTGGCTAAGATAATTGCCACTAATTCATATACTTTCCAGGTTTCAATATTTTGTTGCTATTATCTTCTCTCCTATGAGGCAGAAAAAAAATACAAATCAGTTATAAGCCTGTGAACAATTGTTCAGCATCAGTCAAAATGTAAATCAAAATAAACAATGAAATATCATTTTTAATCTATCAATGACTGGGAAGGAAGGAGTTAAGCAGCAGATCTACAATCAGTGCTCTCCCTTTAGAGGGAAATACTTCTAGGAGAGCAAGCAAGCATGCAAATCTTAAAAGTATGGTAATAACAGACTTCCTGGCTACAAACTAGTATTTACTAGCAGGAGAGTTTGTATCTATGGAATTCCTTTAGCAAGATGTCCTTGGGCTGGGATTGATTATAGAGACCAATTGTTGATCAGTTAATTTTAAAAAGTCAGTTAAAGCAATAGGTCATAAAAATGGCAGATATACTTTAACTTTTAAATTTTTGACTCAAATGTGTAATTATACATTCACTCACTAATCTTTGAAGCAGGGCTAAGACCTTTTATCTGAGCCTGAATCTGTTTGTTGGAGCACCTCATTGTTTTTATTATAAATTGTTTACATTTTCTTTTTCTTCAAAGCAGAGCAAGAACTTAAAGACACATTTGAAGCAATTTGATTGCCAAGTCAATCTAGATTTTGTACAATTTTTTTCCAAAGTTTTACAGATTTTTCTTACCCATATCTTGTTCTATAGTAATTTATTTGTTGTTCACCTTCATCAATTTAGTTTTCATGGAAACAACTTTTTATTGGCATTTCATTGGTTTGAATATTTAAATTCCATAAGTATAATAAGAGGCATAAATATTTTAGGTTACAAATACAAATTGACTCTTTTGCGGTAGGCGGGCCTCTCGCTGCTGTGGCCTCTCCCATTGTGGAGCACAGGCTCCGGACGCGCAGGCTCAGCCGCTCCACGGCATGTGGTATTCTCCCGGACCGGGGCACGGACCCATATCCCCTGCATCAGCAGGCGGACTCTCAACCACTGCGCCACCAGGGAAGCCCCAAATTGACTCTTGATAAGCATACAGCTCAACTGTTTTGGTGAGGAAGTACACAGGTATATCATATAGCTAACCTGTTAGCCTCTAACCTGTTAGTGCTCAGAGGGCCTTGGTGTTATGTAAATATAATTAGCTCGTTTTACTTTTGATTTTGAAAGAATCTCAGACTTACCAAAGAATAAATACAAAGAACTCTTGCAAACACTTTATTCAGATTCACTGGTTAACATTTTCTGATGCCAGGCTCCATTCCTCATTGAATTTCATGGCTCACAGTGTGAATAATACTGCAAGAGTTCAGCCCAATCTCTCTCTCCTAGTAGATGAAGGAACAGAGGGCCAGAAAGTATACTCGACTTAACTCAAGGGGGTTGTTAACATTTCACTTCATTTGCTTTATTCTCTCCCCACCTCTTTCCCCACCTAAGTATTTAAAAGTTACATAATCATGCATCCTTACCCCTAAATACTTCAGTGGCTATTCCTAAGAACAAGAACATTCTCTTCCTAACTATGATTCAATTTTCAAATTCAGAAAATTTAACATTGATACAATACTATTTTCTAATAAAGTTTCCATATTCAAAGTTTGCCAATAGTGCCAGTTGTGTCCTTTGTGGCAACAGTGAGTACAGTTCACAGAGAGAATGTACAGTAATGAGTAACAGAGCAAGTGGGTTAAGTGGAGTCTGGTTTTTAAAGATAGACTCTACGGTAGTTTAATTTTTGTTAAAAAATATGTAATAAAATGGAATGTCCCCTATGCTTTCCTCATGGAATGTTAGATCTAACATTATAAGATAGACTCATAGAGATGCTTTGTTCCTCTCCTAACTTCTTGTTTATTGATGTGACATGTTATAAGCATTTTATCTCGGAGAAGTTGCCTCCGACAAAGATGGCAACAACAGAGACCTGTGTAGTAATATGCTCTAATTGTATTATAAATTTATTTGCTACTTCTCTGAAAGTTAAACATGGCTACCACTTATTAAATGCCCATTTTGTTAAACACTATGTTCAGTGATTAGCATATGTTATTTCAGCACAGCAACCCTCTGATAACAAGTATCATTTTTTTCATTTTATCAATGTGGAAACCAAGGCTTTGAGATGAATTATGTAATTTGTCCAAGGTAAGAGTATGGTAAAATTGGGCACATTAGTAAATATCGCAGAGCTATAAGTTTAAATTAAGATGAGATAAATATTTTATTGAAATGGGTTGCATGCTTTGCCCTTAAAATAGAAATTAGACAATTTATTCTTAAAGCATGGTAAAGGTGGAATCTGTCAGGCTTAATGTCTTGTGATGATCTTATATGACTAAGGAGGCTTTAGTCTGTTGAAGGTCAAACACAACTTTAATTTCTTGCTGAAGATAGTAATATTAATCTTGGGTGTTATATCAAAGTGAATAAATTCATCTATCAGCTATGTGACAAGTATTCTGTTAAAGTCTGGTGATATAAAGATGGTAAACAGTGTTTTTTGTCCTCCAAGAACCCACATTCTTACATAGAAACACAAGACTAAGCAACTATTGAAAACTGAGTAAAGTTAATTATAGATTCAAGTGGACAATGGAATATATACTTATATGTACACACACATATATGGATATCTTAGCAAATAGAATTGCCTAAGGTGAACTGTAATATCAAAACTGAATTACTTGTAGGAGTCTAACAGTAAATTAAAACCACAAATGGAATCAAGCAGACATGCTGATACACCTCAGGACAAGCAAGAGGAGGAATCCATTACTATTCCCAGGTACGAAGAGGCAAGAGAAGGGTCAACGGAACAAAGCAAGAGCCACAGTTGTAGGAGAGGGGCTATCTGGCAGGAGCCATGGTCCTAGATAGAGGAATCTTAGCCA